CTAAGAACCGTGCACATTATTTAAGGGGCAGATTTTTGATGTGGTGTGCGAACAATCGACAGTATCCATCAATGAATATGGACTGAGCGCTTACCACTGTCAAACAAAATAAGCATCAAATGAATCTAATACCGTTTTCAGCCGTCTTTGCACTTTCTGCCGAAGATTCGTTGCCGCTTGAGTCGCTTAATAGATGAATTTTATATTTCACTACAAAACTAAAATTAACAAATGTGTTTGAACCTTTCTAGCTTCGTTTCGAAGTAGACAATTCCAGCCTCTGCTCCAGTATCCATTGTACCATTTGACAAGGGAGGAAAAGAAGGATTTGATGAATTGTCGCGCTGATGTTTCGTTCCTCTATAAAAAACATGGTGACAGAATAGCTTGAATTTCTGTTGCTAAATGAGAGCCTGCAAGCAGTCAGGAATCTTGCTCCAGCAGGTTGAGGCCCATCTCTCCAAAGTAATATCTTTAAGCAACAAATCCCTCACACAGTGCTCCACGCGCCGCTTCTTTGGATCCGTTAGGCTGGTTGAAAGTGGAGAGACCTTAGCAATGTTCCACGATGGTTAGCATCCCGAATCAGCTGCCAAGCAGTCAGTACCAGTATCCAAAAAGACCTCGAATATAAGTTCCAGTTACTGTCTGTGCATAAAAAACTTATGACTTGGTAAACCACATAATGCGATTGGTAAGTGGATCCGAAACATAATGAAAATCTTCGTGGTAAGCCATAATGCGAAAGTTCATTGAACAGGCGCATTTACCGACGTCTATATTACAGAAACGGAGAAGATCAAGGCGTACGTCATTGAAATATGCAAGGCAACAAGACTTAATGAACGCTCTGAGCAAGAGACCAAGTGTTCCTCTGGAAGGCCTTCTAGAACCGCGCTCATCCAGGCGGCGATCCGTTCATAACATGTAAGAAGGCTGCACCATTTGTACTGGACAAATGTAAAACAATAAAACTAATCCCAGCTGGAGATGAAGAGATCTAGCAATTCTGCGGGTAATTGGAAATCGAAATGGTGAACAGTACCACTGTTATTAAACAACATGGAGACCTCAACGAAATCATCGGCAAAAGAAAGAACGACATTTGAATGTGGAAATACAGCAACTTTCCCTGAAAGCAACTACCTTCCACATCATAAAAACTGTTTCCCAGAAAACCCTCGAAACGACAGATGGTACGGAAAAGTCCAGCCGGAAGTCTCTGAGCCAAATCGACTGCGTACGGATGGACAGACAGAGAATAATATGCAGATTTGGTTCAAGAATCCATTGTTAAGAGCACCATACATAGCAAATGACGAAATATGTATTGCCAAAGTGTTTGCTGTC